AAGCAACTCTTTAGCTCCTTTGAGTCTATTTTCTTTGTGTTGCGGTGTAAGTTCTTGCACCTCTTGGAATTTCAATGGCTTTACCCCGAGCTCATTTTTCTATATTTACCGAATGGAACTTTGCGATTTGTTCAGCTAACGAGCATTTTTTTGGCCACTGCGACGCGGATTTCGATCAAGTCGCTTTTTTACTTTTCCAATCATTTCTGCTGATGTTGTTGTTTTCTTCCGTCCACTTCCTTGACGTCGGGCTAGGTTACTAGTATTACGGTAACGAGCGATGGTACGAGACACAAAAGATTTATTCACATTTAACTGCTGGAGTGCTCTAACGATAGCCACTTGTGGTTTTCCAGCCAAATATAAAAAAATCACACTATCACGCTTGAATTCCATCGCGAATAACTTTTTTTCTGGAAAATTCTCACCAAAATGATTTTGTTCGCTTGTAAACAATATAATAAGCTGTCACTGGAATAATTCTAACAGCTGTCGGACGAGTGGCTTAGAAATGACAGCAGTCTGAAGTTGGCTGCAGTTTTTTCATCTCACCCTGTATATAAGGACATATTTCTAATTAATATGCGACGTTTTCTTATGATACATATTCACCAGCTAAGTATTAACCGACGACTACTCAAAATGCTAGGCTTCAGCTCTGTCCTTAACTTTAACCTAACATAAGAAATAATATATCAATTGGTCCTTACTTGAGAACTGCAGGGTGACTGCAAAATCTAGACAATTTTGGTCTATTTTGAATCCTAAATAGTTTGCGAAAATCTTCTATTCTAATCCTATACCTACCTCATGCAAAATTTTGTCAAGACCGGACGATATATGCGAAGATGAGATGACCCTTCTTAGATGAGGTCTCCGGCCCTTAATATCATCTATAAAGGGTCCTCAGCCCTTCATCTCATCTATGAAGGGTCCTCAGCCCTTAATCTAATCTGTAATGGGTCTTAGGTCCTTCATATCATCTATAAAAGGATATTCAGCCCTTCATCTCGTATATAGAAGGTCTTTCATCTCGCCTATGAAGGATTTTCATCTATGAAGGATCTTCGGCCAATCATCCCAGAAAAATACTCACATTTTTATAACAATCTTTTTATCCGATGTTTCTAGATTTTATTCTTTCGTAGCAAAATGTCGTTCTAAATTGCTAAGAATTGTGAAAACCAATCCAGACTTTCTTGAGTTGTAAGCGTTCTAGCTAACAACCTCTTCATTGCTTTATAAAATTTTATATATTTGGGTAAATATACCAAAATCTTGAATATCAACATGCCAAGCTTAACAGAAGCCAAAATATCCAAAAATTCCACTATCAACAAATTAAGTCCCATTACCCCACAAAAACTGACTCTCTAAGCCCAATAAATTAGCAAATAAACAGGGAATTTTCCAAATAAAATATAAGTAGCGTTAAAAAAGTTTCCAAACATTAATTTTTTTACTCCCAACCAGCCAGCAACCCTAGTAATCCTTTTGTAAATTTCAAATAAAAAATTATTCATACAAATGCTCTCTTAAAAAGGGATACTTTTTAATCCATTTTACAACAACTTTGGTAATGAATGATACACCAAAAATAAAATCGAAAAAAAGAACACAAAAATTGAAAAAAAAAAAAACACGGAGGGAGAAAAATTTAAACGAAAATTAGATGGCACTTTAAAATGTCACAAGGCATTAGGAAGTTGATGGAGCATGGTGGCAGGGACAAAAAAAAAACAAAAAAATGCTAACAGGGATGAAGACAAAAACACACTGACTACTGGTCAGTGGCATGGCTGCCAGTCGTTTGGGGGTAGCAAACCTTAAACGAAAAGACACTTTTAATGAGCAATTGTCAACGGATGATTGAAACGATGAAGACGAAGAAGTTGATGATGAAAAAAAACCAAATCTAAGGAAATTGTTTTGTTAGCCATCCCTTACGAAAAAACAGGCATAAAAAAATTAGACAAAAAATATTGAAACTGTTGCCTGACCGTAAGAAAATATATTCAAAGACATCCGAAACTGTAACAAAGTAGAGGCTGGGATGTAAAGATAGAAGAAAAAAATCACTTAACAAACAGCCAATGATGCGGGGATTTAAATAAACAGTTACGCTGATTTAATTTTCGTTTACAGTGATTCCATCTCCTTTGTCTTTGGAGGTCATAGCGAAAAAAAATAAAAGACGAATTTAAGGGCAATTTCTTTTTAAGGGAAATATTTCGAGGGGAGGTATAAAAAGGAATGTGAAATACCTATTGGTAAATTTCATTATATTTAGTGATCTAATAATAATAGATCCACTATAGCAGTGCTAGACCGGACGGAACTTTAATGTTCCGCACCTACGTAAATAAAAATGCCCCAAATTTCTGTACCAGAGATTTGATTAAGTTGAAATTATGAAATCATTTCAAAAAATTACTATCTCGTCCCAAGATTCACCTACTCAATTCCCCTTTCTGGCTCTGCCAGAAAAATCTACACAGGCAAAAAAGCAAATAAGGAAGGAAGTATATTGTAGGAAGGAAGTATATTGTAGTAAAAACTCTCAGACTTTTCTGAAAAATTTTCCAGCGATAGGTTTTTATACCCAGATTTCGGTAAGGGGAACGGACCCGAATATGCGGATATTTGACACGAAAGTCCGGGTCCAGGTTCCCACTAAACCGATATGGATATACAGGATGAGACGAAAAAACTACAACCTACTTCAGACTGCTGCCATTTCTAAGCCACTCGTCCGAGAGCTGTTAAAATTATTCCAGTAGCAGCTCATTATATTGTTTATAAGCGTACAAAAGCATTTTGGTAAGAATTTTCCAGAAAAAAAGTTATTCGTGATGGAATTCAAGCATGATAGCGTGTTTTCTTTACATTTGGCTGGAAAACCAAAAGTTAGAGCACTCCAGCATTTAAATGTGAATAAATCTTTTGTGTCTCATACCAACGCTCGTTGCCGTGATACTGGTAGCGTAACCCGACGTCAAGGAAGTGGACGGAAAAAAACAGCAACATCAGCAGAAATGCTTCAAAAAGTAAAGAAGAGACTTGATCGAAACCCTCGTCGCAGTGGCCGAAAAATGGCTCGTGAGCTGAACATATCGCAATATTCCATTTTGCAAACATTGAAAAATGAACTCGGGGTAAAGACATTGAAATTCCAAAAAGTGCAAGAAAGAAAAAAGAGCTTTCGCTTGGCCGAAAGTGGTGAACTGCCGAATTTGGTTTTCTCCAATGACAAAACATTCGTTGTCCAGCATTTTGTAAACAAACAAATTGATCGTGTTTACTTGCCAAAGAGGTCAGCTGAAAATGTGCACCTTCGGTTGGCCACCAGGACTCAAGCGCTGGCCATGGTGTGGTGTGGGCCGCCATAATAGCCGATGGTCGCTCCCCGCTCATATTAATCGACCGTGGCATCAGAATTAATGCCGAATTTTATCGCGAAAATATTCTGGTGGGTGTATCAAAGCCTTGGGCACGGTAACATTTTGGCTGCAGACCTTGGACATTCCTACAGAACTCAGCACCATCGCACCCAGCACGCCCCACCCAAGAATGGTTACAAAATGAGGTTCCTCGTTTCATAGCACACAATGCCCACCAAAATCTCCGGACACCAATCCGTTGGACTATTGTGTTTGGAGTATTTTGGAAAGCAAGATTGTCACTAAAAAATACCAAAGTGTCGATCACCTCAAGCAAGCGCTTCGCCGGGAATGGACCAAAATACCGCAGAGCAACATTTGGGCAGCATGTGACGGTTTTATTGGCCGTTTGAGGACCATAATTCGTGCCAAAGGTGACCAATTCGAACGAATCTAAAATTATTTTAAAATTTGATGCTATTTCCGACATTTTTTGCTTTCATTCAATAAAATTTAAAAAAAATGTAAAAATTATGGCCTTTGACTTTGTTGCAATTTTTTTATCTCACCCTGTATAGTATCATTTTATGACAAATCATTTTGTAGAATATTTTGACGTGTTCCGATCGCGTTGGAATTGAGTTCTTAAACAATTTTCCAAAAAAGGAACAAAAATACCCTTTTTGTTACCTCGGGTTGGGGGGTTAACATTTTAAACCAAAACAATCCTCGCGTTGTAATCAATATTATTACTGAAGATAATATATACCTAAAAGAGATTTTTTCCTAGGAATTCGAAATTTCTTAAAATATGTAAAAATTGGAAACTTCTACCCTATATGTAGGTTACATATTGATGTACATTTTCCGATACACCTGGCTTCTATTTTAATATCTTCTTTCATAATCTACTGTTGTACCGCATGTTGTAGTTTTTAGTAACTTCTAGGACAAATATCAAAAAAATAATTTTCAGACCCGACTATACTCCAATCTTCACATGGACATGAAAATTTCCTAAATTCTGACTTCAGTTATTTCTTCAGACGGTTTATTATCAGTCAGAAACAATTCCCCAACATTTACATATTACCCTCGTAATTGCTGTAATGTCAACATTTCCATCCATACTAATGTCAAATTAACAAAGACGACAGACATACCATACCAGTCCACCAGTGGCAGTGACATGTTTACAAATGCTATGGAACAGATTTTAAGTATTTCTTTATCTTATTTTTCTTTTTGATTTTTTTTTTCTAATTCCAAAATTTCTTAGACAACTTCAAGTTGTCCATAACATTTGAGGCCATGATAAATGCCAACAACAAGAGTGACAATTTTTCAGTTTCCTCAATTTAATTGGCAGCAAATCATGCCGCAATCATTTGGTATTTTCCAAAAGGAAAAAATTGGGGACCCTCAACATTTTTAACAAAAAGAAGAGGCCCACCCCACACTTTTGTAATTTTTCTCCATTTTTTCTTACACACATTTTTATCATAAAACTTCATGCAATGATTATATGCAAACGAATATTTACTGGACCAATGTATCTTATTGTACTGTTCTATGGGTGTGTGTTGTTTTTTTTTTCTATTTCCAATAAATTCCACTCACCTCTCCCACTGCGTCCGACGAAGCGCAAATCATTAAATTTGGCCACTTGATTTTTCATCACTGCCGTACAGTTACGCAGTTCACCGCAAAAGTTCTCATCGTTGCCGGCACGTATTGTCACAATGGTGCCGTCCATCACTTCGCCCAGGGCGAGAACTTTGAAGGCAATTGGTAGCGTTTTATTGGAGCGCCAATGTGTGGGTAGTGTTGTGCAGACCTGAAAAATTGGAATTGAAATAGAATTTTTAATGATGTTTGAATTTAATTGCATATAGTTTTTTAGGGTGGAGAGTGGTGCATGGTGGCGTATGATTTTTAATAAGATCACTGAGGATAGCGTATACGTATAGAATTATTACAGCAAAGGGCGTATAACTTACGATTAAATGTTATTGTTAAAGACATATCAAATAATCAATGATAATAGTAAGTAAGAACTTGGAAAAAATATTAATAAAATATCTACAGTAGAACACGACCGGAATTAAAAATATATAACAAAAATATCTCGGATTAAAGATCAGATAGTGTTGGAAAAAATATTATTGAAAAAATCGCAAATTATTCTTAAACAGTGCAAATATGGCAAAATAGCGATCACCTCAAGCTAGCGCTTCGCCGGGAATGGGCCAAAATACCGCAGAGCAACATTCGGGCAGCGTGTGACGGTGTCATTGGCCGTTTGAAGGTCATAATTCGAGCCAAAGGTGACCAATTCGAACAAATATAAAATTTGATGTTATTTCCGACATCTTTTTCTCTCATTCAATAAAATTTTCAATAAAAAATATAAAAAATATGGCGTTTGACTTTGTTGCAGTTTTTTTATCTCACCCTTTTTATCTCCGCCCATTGTTATACCCTCCACCATACATAGTACAGGGTTGCCCATATTCGACGGACCCATCTGGCAACGCCATAACTTTTGACACAGATGTCACATCGCTTAATGACATACCGCGTTTGAAGCGTCAGTCCAAGCAGATTTTAATACACGCCACGCGAAAAAGTTGAAATTTACATTCAACAAAAGAAGTCAATTGTGAAAACTCAACGTGCTTTTAAAACATTAAAAAATGTGAGAAGTGCGCCTTCTAAGAACACCATTAAGCGCTTATACGAAAAATGTTCGACTGGTAAGGCTCTTTCTAATCCGAAGAGGCCATATAAAAGTCGACCAAGGCGATCGGCCGAGAATATCCCTTCCGTACGAGCCAGTGTTGAGAGGTCCCCAAGAACATCCCAAAAACGCCGTTCTCAGCAGTTGGGCATGGCTCGGTCTACTTTACAACGGATTATTCGCATTGATTTGCATTTGTTCCCGTACAAAATTCAATTGACGCAAAGAATGTTGCCTGCGGACAAGCCTCGTCGATTGGAATGGGCCCAAAGAGTCATGGGTCCGTCGAATATGGGCTACCCTGTATATAGGATATATTAAGTTGGTCATACTGTTTGTAACTCATCGAAATAATAATTTTAGATCTAACGAAGAACATATATTCTTGATCAACGTAAAATTCTATCACGATTTAGCCATGTCCGTCCGCCCGTCTCTTGTAATCACGCTAGAGTCAAAACAAATAAAGATAGGAAGCTACAATTTTGCACAGATCAGTCTATTACGCATCAAGTTCGAAGATGGGCTATATCGGTCCACGATATCTATAGCCCCATATAACGGTACCCGGTATTTTGATGACTGTAGCCAATTTTTTAATGAAATTGTCAAAAATTCCACACAAGGAGTTCCTTCAGAGTGTTTTACCCCCTGGATGAGTGTTGTCCACGATATCATATAGCCCCGATATTCGGTATTTGGATAATTGCAGCCAATTTTTTTATAAAATTATCTGATAATCCACACAAGAAGTTCTTTCTAAGCGCCTCACCCCCTGGATAAGAATTGCCTATATAGGTCCACGATATCGTATAGCCCCCGTACAACGGTACCCCCGATATTCGGTATTTTAATGATTTTAGGGATATTATTCACCGGAGTTGTTTCAAAATTCGTATTCAGAGTTCGTAACAGGTACTACAGTCTATGACAGAATATTGTCTATGCAGGTCCAGGTCTAGGTCTTCGTTTAGCCCACATATATCGGTACCTCCCTATATTCGGCATTTTGACGATTTTAGGTACAATATTCACTGGAATTGTTGCAAATTTCGTATTTGAAGTTCCTAATAGGTACTAAAGCCTGTGACATGAAATTGTCTATGCAGGCACTGGTCTCCGTATAGCCCTCGTATATCGGTACCTCCCTATATTCGGTATTATTATGATTTTAGCGACATTATTCACAGAAATTGTTTCATATTTCGTATTTAAAGTTCGTAATGGGTACTACAAGTTATGAATTGCCTATGCAGGTCCAGATCTTCGTATTGCCCCAATATATCGTTATCTCAATATATATACCCCTATATATCGGTATCTCCCTATATGCGGTATTTTGATGATTTATCTACGTTACTACACGTCTTCGTGTAGACCCAATATTACGGCTATTTTTTAAGATTTTTAGGATTTTAACAAAATTTTAAGGGATTTTATATTTTGAACATTTCCAAATTCTTTCCAAATGCTAAAAGGTATTCAAAGTTCGGTCTGGCCGAACTTCCTGTTTTTTACTTGTTTATTACATTTTGTTTTTTTAATATATCCGAGTTCCTGTTTTTTACTTGTTTATTTTATTTTATTTCATTTTATTTTCTCGGGCAATATTACTGCCACAAATCCAAAGGAAAAAACTTGCCTTTTATCCCAAAATTGGTAAAAGCAAAAAAACACGTTTCAGAGCTAATGTCGCAATCTATCTGAGTTCAATAATTCCTCAGCCATGCGGATACAAACTGTATATATCTTTTGATAAGTCCAAAAGAAGGGTATTTGAAATAACAGCATCAGACTCTTTAGATGAAATACTTTTCAAAATGTTTAGAGCCGATCTAACCAAAACCTTTCTTTCTGTATGTCTGGCCTGCTGGTGGACACGATAGGTCTTAAAGGCAGTATAAGATTTGGTCAAAACTTGAAAAATCTTAATATTTTCACTAAACTTATATTTAGACCACTTCGACAAAAGGTCACGAGCGATGGGAGTAATATTTTAAGTAGACCCAAAAGCGAAAAAATTCTTGTTCTGTTCCAGAATGTGCAAGAATCTAGTTCTGCAATTTTTTTATACCCTCAGATCAGATATGTTTTCGTTAAATCCCCATATAACGATACCTTCCGATATTCGGTATTTTGATGATTTCAGCAACATTATTCACCGGAATTGTTTCAAATTTGGTACTGGAAGATCCTAATGGTATTTGAAGTTCGTAATGGACACTACAGCCTATGAGAAAAAAATTTCGTATACAGGCCCACGTCTTCATATAGTCCCCATATAACGGTTTTCATTTAAGTGGTAGTTTTCGGATCTTTTTTTCAAATTTTTCAATTTTCTTTCCAAATGATGGAGGGTATTAAAAGCTTTTTGTACTTGTTGTTTTTTTTTTTTTTTTGATGTCTCAAAGGAAAAATCGGTTATCGAAAAAAAACCTTTTACATTCTTCTAAAATCTCGTCATTTGATAATTTTGATTTTCAATATTTTTTGATTATTGACTTCAAAAGAGTTTGGAAAACAAGGCATTAATATTTAGAAATGTAGCTCTGATGGCATTTGAACAGCTTTAATTAAAAATCCTTGTCCGGATCCTTAAAATTATATACTTACAATATGTGGTGATCCAGTCTTAACCAGCTCCCCTGGATGTTCGGCCAAGAGCACGTCCACAGTTCGTTCAATGAGATTTTCCGGTGTCAGATAGGGACTTGTGTCCACCGGCTTTTTACTGGCCGTGCCGTTCGAACTGTTGTTGTTATTATTGGTTGTATTCGAATTATTGTTGTTATTTTCATTGTTTACACTGCGGCCAGACTTTTTCGATGGATTTGTGCTTGGGGCCGTTGTTGTGGAGCTCACTTCGCTGGTTATGTGCATTTTTGCAATATTTTATTATTTTTTTTTCAAATTTCAATTTTCAAAATATTGTAAGATATTATTTTTTTAGATGCCTTTTTCTTGATGTTTTCAAACACACATGACTTCAGAGGAATTGTTACACAAACACGCACTCACAAAATTAACTAGATGAAGAAGAATAAGAATAAGGACATGTGGAAGATATGTAAATTAACTTGGCAATGAAAGGGGTTACTTCCCCCTTTTTCTATTCGAAACGAAAGGCTTTATGGCGATATTGCTTCACATGTAATAGACCTGTTGAATTTCAATATACGGAGTTTTTTTTTTTTTTTGGGCGGAAAAGGATGTTGTACAACTTTGTTTTGCCTCCTCAAGTTTGAAGGAGAGTGTTTAGCACGTTTTTATTTCAAACTTGTCCCGAGAGAGTATGAGCTATTTCATTCTCTGAGGATTTCCGTCAAAAAAAGAACCCTTTATTCACAACTTTTGAATTATCACTTTTAACTCCAATTGTAAGCGTTTCGGAGACGTCCAATCGATTCAAACTTTGACGAATGATTAAAATGATTGGTTAACAATTTTTTATAATTTGTTGACAATTCACACCAAAAAACACTGGCCTCGAACGGACAGGCTCAATTGGAAAACACATTCTCCATTGCGGACAAACTTTTTACCATCCCCACACCTCAAACCATTTCCGCCATTTCATTAATTCAGACACGGTACCGGTCACAATTAAACCTCATTTGAAAACAAACACATCTGTTTCCCGTTTAATACACCAAAAAATATCCTGTTAATGAACGGCATGTGGCCGTATCGCAATAATATTTTGTACTTTTTTCCGTGCGTTCAGCGTGCGCTTTTTTTATTTTTTATGTCACTTTTCTTTCACTTCAGTTCGTTTTGGTGTTCACATGTTATGTTGTACGCTTGTATGTGTGTTTTTTTCGCCACTGTTTTGATTGTTACTTTTTTGTGCGAATACTGTTTTTTTTTTTTCATTGTTTCACTTCTGCGTTATTAACAATTTCCCTTTTGATATGATTTTTTTAAATATGTGTTTTTTTTAACTGACATTAAAAATCAAATTTGAAATTATCATAAAGTCAAATGAATTTGCTTAAAGCTAGCACAGTGTTTTAAATGAATAATAAATAATGGTAAATGATAGCGATAAGTTCAATCGGACCAACCATTTAAATTAATCCACTAATAAATGAACTAAGCATAAATGAGATAATTTTTATACCCTCGGCCATATAACTACAGAGGGTATATAATGAGATTGTCTTCAAATTTCACATCCCAATATTCCTATTAACACAAGATCTGGTGTGGAGATGGAATATACTGATCGAATCCTTCTTGTGCCTCCCCCACAACGAGTCAGAATTTGGAATAGCCATGAAGCTCATAAAACGTGAAATTAGCATTCAATACCTTTCAAAGGCGGTACATCTCAATATTTCTATCAACACAAGATCTGGTATAAATATCGTATATATTGCTCCTCTTCTTCTTGTACCTCCCCCACAATGGGTTAAAATTTTGAATAACCGAAACGCTCATAAAATTTGAAATAAGAACTTCATTCTTTTCATTCTCTTCAAATTTCACATATCCTATATTTTCACTAATAAATTATACAAATCGACCCACCCCTTCTCCACGAAGGGTCACAATTATTAATATTTATATATCTCATATTTTTCTATGATATGAATATGGATATATATAATATAATTTTGAAATGGTTGTTTGATCCTCTTGAAATTTTGCATATTACAAAATTTTAATCAGTATTATGGAAAATTAGTACATCGTTTCAATATATACGGAACTTTCCGCATATTTCAACATTTTACAAACTAAAGGAGTCAAAATGTGCACGAGAGATATATTTTCTTATACCCTTAATTTTACGGCAATGTGCCTCACCGAAATAACAGATTAGGAACTGAGGACAAAATACGTATCAGAACATTGGAGTCCTTCTGTCCGACCGACATGCGTTTACCTTTGAGAGTAATCAAAGGTCTAATAATATTCGGTACATCTTATCACAAAAAAGTAATAAAAAACCAGTAAAGAAAGTCTCAAAGTCGGGCGGGGCCGACTTTATGATACCCTACACTACTTTGCTAATTTAGTAGAGCCCCGCATAACAATTAAAAGTTTTTATGGGAGAATTCAATTATACACGCTATGATTATAAATTTAATTTAAAGTTCAAAGGACAACATATGCCGAAGCATTTGTGCCTTTTAAATTCGGACTTGTATTGCCCATTTGGTGCACAATTAATTTGAAATCGGATAAAAATATATATGGGAGCTATATCCAAATCGGAACCGATCTCGATAAAATTTGGCAAAGATATTTTTGAGCTGCATTTGATATATTTCCCCAAATATTGTTGTTGCAGAGTGCATATTACGGCGGCGGTGGACAAAAATAACAAATCGGATGAACAATATATATGGGAGCTATAGCTATATCTGAACCGATTTTCATCAAATTTTGCATACATATTTTCAGACCTAATTTGGGTGTATATGCAAAATTCCATACAATTCGGGCTGATATTACACGTTTGGTGCGCAATAAAAAGCAAATCGGACGAAGATATATGGGAGTTATATCTAAATTTTGACCAATTATTTCCAATTTCAATAGGGTTCGTCCTTGAGTAAAACATATGATCTGTGCAAAATTTCATCTGGATCGGGCAATAAATGCGACCTGTACTTTGTTTACAAAAATACATGGACAGACGGACGGACGGACGGACATGCATAAATTGACTCAGAATGTGATTCTATGCAGATCATCAAAAGGAACTATGGGTCTATCTCGTCTCCTTCTGCCTGTTACAAACAAATGCACAAAGACAAAATACCCTGACCACCTTGTGGTGTAGGGTATAATAAAATGGGTAGTAAATATATGAAAGAGTAGACTGACTGACTGACTAACCGAGAATCAATGCCCAGAAGAAACTGGTCCCAATGCGTAAGCATGTGATAAGGCTGGATTTCTGTTTTGGTTTGGTACTTAAACGGTACGAAAAGTACTTAATATGTAATATTTTGTATTGCTTAAACAGACTGAGCTAAAACTCTAAAATGTTTATTTAGAGTCACTGATGGAGTGCAGGATAGATGTACCGAAGGGTTTTTGGAAACTCGAACTTTAAGGAAACGCAAACTTCTAAAAAGGTAATAAACTTCTAAAATGGTACCCTTTGGTATGATGTGAAAATGCAAGTTAAAACTTAAATTTTGATATGAGAATCACGGTTGGAAAGTAGGTTTGATATACGAAGATGCTTGTGGAAATGTGTACTAAGTGTGCGAACTTTTCTAAATGGTATTAAATTTGGTTTTGAGTCCCTGTTGGTGGTAGGTTTGGGATCAAAAGGTGTTTTTGGAAGTGCACGAAAAGTTATAAATTGTACAAAATAGTGTTTCAAAATTAAAATGTGGTATTAGAGTCGCTGTCCATGTACAGCCTGGACATAAGGAGGTGGTTTCGGAGATGTTTACTGATTGGTATTGGGTGAAGGGATAAAGTTCTGAAATTTGGTATTTAGATTACTGCTAGTATCTCAGTTAGAGATTTGGCAGTGGATTTGGAAATGCGTATTACAATTGTTCGAAAAGTACTAAGCAAAACTAAATTGGATATTAGGTGAAGGGGTAGAGCTGAAATCCCGAACTATATATTGATCCACTCTTTCTGGTTCGTGCCTAATAATAGATTCTATGTAAAGAAAAGTTTTGAGATATTGGCTGATTTACTGGCCAACTCCCAGGCGAAACAGCTAAAGATAAAATTTTGAAATTTTGCGTGAGAGCGAGTCGAAGATTAAGATAAGTACCAAAAGATACTTAATACCATTTGTATTGAGCGAACGGATAGAGCTAGAATTCCTAAAAAATTGTCACTGGAAGATTATAGTATAGGTGTCTCTATAAAGCCCTTATGAAGGTAGTCTTTCTCTCGTAGATCCTTTGAAAAGTTATCAGTCGCTGGAAGACATTTAGAGTGTCTGCTGGCACTAGAAGACCCTTTTTAATTTCTTTTGTTCATAGAAGACGCTTGATAGGGTTTTCTGTCACTGGAAGATCTTAGGAACGTCTTCTATCTCAAGAAGAACTTTTGAAGGTTCCCAGAAGACTTTTTGAGCGTCTTATGTCCATGAAAGACCCATCTAAAGAAACCGACCTGTACAGGGTGAGATGAAAAAAGTGGAACCAATTTCAGACTGCTGTCATTTCTAAGTCACTCGTCCGACAACTGTTAAAATTATTCCAGTGACAGCTCTTTATATTGTTTACAAGCGTACAAAAACATTTTGGTGAGAATTTTCCAGAAAAAAAGTTATTCGTGATGGAATTCAAGCGTGATAGTGTGATTTCTTTATCGTACCATCGCTCGTTACCGTGATACTTACGTTCATTTCCGACGTCAAGGAAGTGAACGTAAGAAAACAGCAACATCAGCAGAAATTCAAAAAGTAAAGAAGCGACTTGATGGAAACCCGCGTCACAGTGACCGAAAAATGGCTCATGAGCTGAACATATCGCAATATTCCATTCGGCAAATATTGAAAAATGAGCTCAGGGTAAAGCCATTGAAATTCCAAAAAGTGCAAGAACTTACACCGCTACAAAAAGAAAATAGACTCAAAAGAGCTAAAGAGTTGCTTCGCTTGTCCAAAAGTGGTGAACTGCCGAATTCGTTTTTCTCCGCTCCGATAAGAGTTTGTAAACAAACAAAATGATCGTGTTAACTTGCCAAAGAGGTCAGCTGAAATATACACCTTCAGACCTCAAGCGCCGGCCATGGTAATGGTGTGGGCCGCCATAATAGCCGACAGTCGCTCTCCGCCGAATATTATCGCGAAAATATTCTGGAGGGTGTATAAAGCAAACATTTTGTCGCCTTGGACATTCCAACAGGACTCAGCACCATCGCACTCAGCACGCGCCACCCAAGAATGGTTA